CGACGGCGGGCGGGAGCTGATAAACCTCTCAGACTCCTCCACCGATAGACAGATGCTTTTCTCAGAATCATGAGCGACTGGCTTGATCTGTGAGGTGATCCTTGCGGCGTCCCCTCGGCCTGCAGCATGCGGCGCAGCAGACGGGTCCCCTGCACGGCCATCAGAGTGCCTGCCTGTATCTATTGGGCGGAGTCTCAGAGCCTCAGCAAAGTGCAGGATTACATCAACATGTATGTCTTTGGGATTATACCCTAATGGCCCAATACAGCCTTTAATGAGCAAAAGATTGTCTTTCCTGTCCAGGAAGTGTTGGTGTTACCATGGAGAGCGCATGTTTGCAGGCCATTACATTCAGCAGGACAAACAGAGCTGACTGTGGAGCCGTCACCCTTGCTGTGAGACACACTGCGTTCACACATGATAAGGCGGCTGTGGGATTCAGCAGAATTGCACTTCTAAGCACGACTTCGGCCCTGGAGCTTCTGAGGAAACCAGAAAGTCACTGTAAAGTGAGGTAAAGCTCAGATGATGGGATGGCAGAAGATCACCACCACTGTTAAGCTGGTAGGTCCTGGTGTCCTGGGTGCAAACCCACTCCTTACGACAGTGAGTATATGGACACATTTCCCTATGTCTCCACTTCATCATAATGCCGCAGTTCCTCCATCTTCAATTCCTCATACTTCCACCTTTAGAGCTCCATAACTCCTCTGTTTCTCCATCTTAAATTTCCCATACCCCCACCTCCACTATAGCTACCCCCCTAACAGTACCATAAATCCTGTAACTCTTCACCACAGCACAGATCTTATTGTCTTCCCAGCCTCACTCTGAACTCACCACTGATCCCAGGTCAAATTACAACCATAAACTGCTTATATGATCCCTCTGTTGAAGAAAGAAAATGGGCCTTTTTATACTGTTCTGCAGCCTAATTGGCCTTTATCTCCTGCTCCTCTGGCTAATTTCATTAGAATCAGCATTTCTCACAGACACCGTTATGCAAAGTAAAGCCTTTACGTTTGCTCTCCACCTAAGGGATGTACGCTCGTTTGAGGGCTCAGCACTTGTTGAAGCTGTTTGCTTTGTGTCCGTTGTCATTGTCTCGCGTGCCTGTCAGGCTCTAGCCCTTGTCCTTCGTTCGGTCCGTGTCCAGTAGCGTCTCTACTCTTTGTGGATCTGCCTAAAGCACAGTTCTGTGCTGTGAGGATTCTGCCAGGCTGCAAAACCAGCAGAATGTCAAGGACTTCCCTCTAGAAATGCACAAGGCATTAAGGCCAGAGCTGGGAGGGAGCAAAAATGTGGGCTGTCTGCAGGCGCCCAAGGACCGGACTGGGAAACACTGGCATGTGGCCATCGCTCTTTGAGATCTTTCTTTTAGCAGAAACCTTGCTGATGTGAAAAAGCTGCAAATGTCTGTCTGAGTGACTTGCTCGGCTCTGCTCTGCTCACAGTCAAAACACATGCACAAAGAAACACATGCAGCCAGAAAGGTGGTCCAGAACCAGAACTGAGGGTCAAGTGTGGGTCGTCAGGTAGGAATGGTGGTACTGCCTTAAGGAGACAGAGGTGGGGGGCTGTGGCCCCTGTTAGCAGGACAGCTAAAGGAGAGGCAGAGTCAGTGTGAGTCAGCAAACTGCAGCCGTTAGCACACAGCGGTGTGAGGGGTAGGGGCGCCTTGCTGTGCTCTGGGTGACCAGTGACCATGTGGAGCCAAAGCGAGGAGCAGAGCTGCTGCTGGGACCTCAGAGCCTCACGCGGAATTAGGCCGTAGCTAGAGGCAGAGTCCTCAGCTATCAGATTCATACATAACAGACTCGACGTCTTTTTGTTCCTTATGGTCTATAGATGTATATATAAACATTGCATTGACTTAAACTGCAGCCGATAGCGTGTTGTTCAAACGTTAACTGTGGGTCCCGTCACGGGCCTGCCCCCCCCCCAGTCTCTTCTGTCTGATGGCACAGCCATGTTTACCTCTCCCCGCAGTTAAATGGACTGAGCGATGGTACTGCTTTGAGCGGGGGCCACTCTGACCCACGCTGGAGACAATGACCCTGTTCTGCACATTCCTCCCCACTAAAGTGAGTCTGGGATTCAGCTGGACAAAAAGGCCATGTTTGTTCACGTTCAGGTGCATTTTTTCAAATGGACAATTTAGCAAACTGAAATGTCAGTGAGCATTTCACAGTGCATGGAGCCTGACTAAAGCCAAAGAGGTCCTTCAGCCCACCCCCAACTGTATCAGGACACTTATGGACCTGGGGGGGCGGGGGGGGGGACCTGGACATCCCATCTCACAGGAATTTCAGACAGGCCCAGAGAGAAGGATGTGAATTGAACTGGAGTTTGAAAAATAGGCCTGAAAATCTGGCAGATTTATTTCCTCATGGTTACAAGGTTTGCACTAGTGAACCTTAACCAAACTGAACCAAATTTAAGATAAGCACACCCAGGGACATTTGTGAAAAGGTGTGTGCGAGCTTTGCCTCTTCCAGGGAATAGAAAAGCAGTAAATCCATAGTGAATTGCATTAGAAGTCGCTCCTGAAGGTGGCTCAGTGTGTGTGTGTGTGTGTGTGTGTGTGTGTGTGGTCCAGGTATACATTATACCTCTGTGTTATAAAAACCTGTTATTTTGACATTGTGGGGACATTTTTTTCGGTCCCCACAAAGATGTAAAAAAGATATAAAAAATCTATGACTGCAATTAAAAGACTAGAAATGTAAAGAGTCTTGTGTTATGTTTGGTTACTTATGGCTAAGGTTAGGGTTGGGTAGGGCTTAAGGTTGTCATTGTTGCGATTAGGGTTTTTCCCATAGAAATAAATGGGGAGTCCCCAGGAAGATATGAGTACAGGTGTGTGTGTCTGTGTGTCTGCAGTTCAGTTACTTCATCTTCCGTGCTGAGATGTGAAAAGATGAAAAAGTGACGGCAAGTTGGAATAGGGCTCCCTGGCATCTCTTTTGTGAGGAATGGAGTCTGAAAAAGCACCTTGTAGGTGTCCTTTTGCCCCCCGCAAAAGAGAATGAAACACTGAAAGATGGTTTTGTGTCCCCAGACTAGCCAATCCCCCCAGCCCCCCCCCTCCCCCAAAGGCTGCGACTTCTCATGTGGGGACAAAGAAGTGAGAAGGGACATGAGTGACAAACAGCCAGGGGCTCAGGGTCGGGGCCACATGTCACACGCAGTCCGGAGTGTGTGTAGCTGGCCAGCGTTAGGGACACAGGGCTTGGCTTTTAGATGTGCCTGTGCACACGCCTGTGTCTGTGACATTACCGTGTAACTGGCCAGAATTTGGAAAACAGGGCTTGGCTTTTAGATGTACCTGTGCACACACCTGTGTCTGTGACATTAGCGTGTAGCTGGCCAGCGTTCGGGTGCGTGGCTCAGTTGTTTTACACGCCTGTGTCTGTGATGTTAGCATGTAGCTGGCTGGCATTCAGGGCATGAGGCTTGGCTGTTAAACGCACCTATGCTCACACCCGTGTCCATGTCGTTAATGTGTGGCTTCACTGGAGGTTTGATGTTGCTGTCCCTCTGTGCTTACATGTGCCTCAGTCAATCCATCATCACGGCTATGTCATTAACAGGCCATTGTAGTGGAGGACACAGCAGCCCCGGGCGTCCCGAGACCCCCAGAATCAACATAAGTGGCACATATGAGACCATGTGACCTGGCCATTACCATAGTGCCTGGTGAGCCCACAGGGTGACTGAATAAGGGCTGGTCAGCAGCCTGACATTTCATGGATCCGGGCATGTCTTCCCCTGGCTACCCATTGATAAATTAGAAAAATGCGTGTCCTTGGCAGCCTCCAAGCGTTAATTTCTGATTACTAATGATTACTATTCTGGAGCCAGCAGATTAGGCTGTAATTGATTTGCAGGATGTCAGAGAAAAAGCAGAGAGTGAAACAGGAAGAGCACAGAGGCAGGGAAACAGGGTGAGAGAATTTGGAGAGGGGAATAAAGGTGGCCATTCAGCCCGTCAGAGATGAAAGGTGCTTTGGGCACCTTCTGCCACACTCACGTACGCCTGTTTGACCTGCTTGCACATTACAATGTGTTTGATTCATATGCGCATCCAGGACACTGTGTCAATATTCAGGCACGCAGCTAACGAAACTGTCTCTAACAAGGCAGCAGTCACAAGGGCTGTGAGCCAGCGGCTCCTTAATCAAATCTTTCCTCTTTATGGGTAGGACTGCTGCCTCCAGGGTTAGAGGTTGAATCCACCCCGCTACCGTGTGTGTGCAGCTTGCATGCTCTCCCTCTGTTGTGTTAGCTTCCTCTGGCAGGGGAGCCACTTCTCCCCATAGTCCAAAGACGTGCATAGTGAATGAGAGTCCGTTTTGTAATTATTATGTTCTGGGGACCAGATTTCCCCAAAATGTGATAAAAACCTGTTACTTTCCACCTTGTGGGGACATTTTTTCAGTCCCCACAAGGATAACCTCAGTTTATTAAAAATCTGTGGCTGCAATCAAAAAACTGAAAATGCCAAAGTCTTGTACTTTCTCTAGTTATTTATGGTTAAGGTTAGGGCTAGGTAGGGATTAAGGCTGTCATACTTGGAATTGGGCTTATGTCCATAGAAATGAATGAAGAGTCCCCACAAAGATATGAATATGTGGTATGAGCGTGTGTGTGTGTGTGTGTGTGTTACCACGAGCTGTATATGCAGTTGGATGGATGGATGAGGCAGAAATCTTGCATATTGCAAAACAGTCAAAATGTCATTTGAAATTTAAGCAATAAAACATTTTCTTAGAAGCAGTCCCTAGAGACCATATTACAGACAGAACTTAACATATAAGAGCAGATTAGTCTATGAGAGCTTTTGCTTGACGTCACTGCTGGATGCCCCCCCCCCCTGGTTCTGCATGCCCTGTTGTCCCTCTGTTGTCCCCCTGTCGTCCCCCATCACTGCCGCTCTCTTGTCTCCCATCTGTCCCCAGGCCTAGATCATGGTTCAGTGGCAGTGAAAAAGAAGACTGGAAAAACAGTGAAGTGAAATCATGGTTGGGAGGGGAGTAGCAAGGGAAGCCTTCAAACACAGGTATTCGCCATGTTAGCACACCTTTGTGTGGGATTACTGGGCCTCCCTACCCCAATCAATAAGGCACTCATAATCCGCAGTGTGACAGCTCACTGAAAGCCGGCCTGTAACCTACCGCTGCGTTGTTTTACACTGCCTGGGCTTGGCAACAAAATATAGGCTTGTCGTGTTCCTGGTTTTGTGGTGTTTGCTTTTAAATGGCTGACTGATGGCTTGCCTCACACACTGAGGCAGACCCTCTGTCTACCCCCTTCCCATGACTCTCTGCCTCTCCCCTTTCCATGACCCTCTGCCTTTCCACTTACCATGAACCCCTGCTTATCCCTGTCCCCTGACTCTCTTTCTCCCCTTTTCTGTGACCCTCTGCCTCTCCTCTTCCCATGGGCCTCTGCCTCTCCTCTTTTCTGTGACCCTCTGCCTCTGTGAGACTGCCTGGTCCAGCTCCTCAATCCATCCTCTACAGGTTGGGCCAACAATCTGCCATAATCAGTGCTGAAAGTGGTGATGGGCTGTCAGGCAGCAGTGCAGGTCCCCAGACATGTGTCGGCCAAGCATGGTGTGGCTTACAGGGTGTCTGACACAGAGACTGATGCCTCTGTCTATCGTTTTTGTTCAGAAAAACTCAGATCTCTTGTCTTGAATGTCTCAGATACAGTCGCCTCACTGAGGCCAATTTGCAATGATTAATCCTATAATGTGAGTAAATAATGCAAATAGATTTAAGGATAGTGTCATACATATCAATTTGCATGTGCATGACTGGAATGTAAATCAATAGTTTGAGCAGAGGTGGAATCTGCTCAGCCGTGTTCTCCTTTTTTCAGCTCACCAGTCAGTGAGATGGAGTGACTCCAAGGCAGTGAAGAGACTCACTCTGTGAAAGAGGCTGATCTCAAATGGAGAGAAACTTCTGTAAAGGAGAGAGAGGAGGAGAACATGCAGAGGTACGTGGGCGGGCAGGGAGTAGCTGGTGTAGGGGGTGGGGGAGCGCGTGTAGGGGGAGTGCAGCCAGCAAGATGGTGGCCCCCCAACATAGACCCAGTTCCCTAAAAACAACAAGTAGATGATGAGGACTGTCATACAGTTCATTTTGTTACAGATGTTTTTTCACAATGTAACTTTCCTGTTTTCTGCAGCTGGGCGATGACCAAAATGGGGACCACACTTTCCTCAAAAAAGAAGCATCAGCAATTGAAAATCACACAAAAGTGTCATTTGGAATATCTCCATGTAAACATGTACAGTACCGTGCAAAAGTCTTAACTAACACAAAAATTCACTGATATCTTGCTGGATGGCTAGATGAGCATCATTCCAGTTCCCAAACCTCTCCTCAGCCATTCCATGTATTTGTTACATTTCACCACCAGCTCACTTAATTAATTAATTGAATTAGTTTGAAAAAGTCAATGGCATATTAATTAGCCATATGAGGCGTGCTAGGGGTCGAGTCAAAAAACATGGGTGTATTAGATGGCTGCTGTAAATGCTGTGCTGACTTTAGGAGATGTTTTGAAATGGTTAAGCTGACTAACTTAGACAAGCACAATAGTATGGTTTTACACCAGCATGAAGATCATTTAAATATCACTCTCTTTGGCTGCCTAAGACTTATGCACATACTGTATGGGCAGAGCTGGACATTCTGGGGGCCGTGATAAAATGTCACCTTGGAGTTTTCAATCTGAAGAAATATGGACCCCCTGTGGTAGAATTTGCCAAGCAGAGGTTCCACAAGCATATAAGTTAATGTTATTTTTTCTTATTCGGAGGCACCTATAAAATGCTGGGCCCTTTGAACCCGCCATGGTGTCTAAGCCCCTATAGCACCCCCTGCCAGCAGGCATTATGCATAGCGTGTGGGAGGTGAGACAGACCCATGCCTTTCCCTGCAGCAGGGCCACTAGAGAGGAAATCACAATCATCATAATTGTAAATGTAATCATAATAATAATTATAAGAGGAGGAGGAGGAGGAGGAAGAAGAAGAGAACTAGAGACTGGCTTGAGAAAACAGCATTTCCCTGTTGATAGACAGGGGGCACGGTTATGTGCCTGCTGAAGAGAGTCAGCAGTCAGCAGCACGGAGATGGTGAAGGCGGCTGCTGATCACTGCTGGCTCAGCTCGCCGCCTCTCATGGCGCAGGGGACTGTGGTGGTCCCTAGGCCCCCCCTGTCGCCAGTTCGCTACAGAAAAGTCTGTTTACATAAAATACTCACCAAAAGTCTTTTATAACTCCACAGCCCTGGTTTTTATTGTAAAATAGTGTATAGGCCTTTATCTTCCCACATTGCAACTGATTCTGGACCAGATCCATCCGCATCTCCTTCAGTCTGGGTGCCAATGACATTCGGGAAGGAGAGTCTGCACCAGAATCTGTCCAGAGTTATAAGAAGCAGTTATAAGAATCTGAGGGGCGATTGCCCCACATAGCAAGATGAGTCTGAACTGGATCTGGGGCAAACATTGTTTATAAATCGCCACTGTTCCGTAAAATGGATCTGGCCTGGCCTGTATCTGCACCACAGTCAAAAGTTAAAGTCTGTGGGCCCTTGAGCAAGGCTCTTAACTCCAAGCTTAATGGCATGTGGTCTGACTTCCAAGAGATGGAGAGTATGAAGATGATGGAGCAAGTGAAAAGATATGTAGCCATAATGAATAAGATCATTTATTACGTGTTGGCCCAGCATCTTAATCCATTGAATTTAAGCACAGCTACACTCTTCAGCTTCTTCATATCTCTTCACTTGCTCCATCATCATCATATGTTCCTCCTCCACCATCATCATCATATGCCCCATATCTTGGAAGTCAGACCACATGGCATTGAGCTTGGAGTTAAGGGCCCTGCTCAAGGAGCCACAGACATGTAACCGTTCCACCAGGGCTGGGACTCAAACCAAGGACCTCCTGTTCACAAGCACAGAGACTTAGTCCACTGAGCCACTCACCACCAATGTATGTGAAGCCAGGATCCTAGAGCAGAACTGGTCAGCAGTCAATCTGGAAATAAATGAGCTACATTTAACAAACATGTTTTATTTGCACAAGTACAGGTTTTTTATACTCATTTTTTCCAGACTGACTGCTGACCAGTTCTGCTCCAGGATCCTACCACAACTGATGTGGCTGGAGAGTGTCTCAGTGGGCTAAGTCTCGGTGCTTGGGAAGCTGGAGGTCACTGGTTCGAGCACCAGCCCCTGTGCCATGGTTACATGTCTGTGGGCCTTTAACTCAAAGCCATGTGGTCTGACTACCAAGGTATAGGGAGTAGGTGAGGAGATATGTGGCTGTACTAATGTGAATAAAATAATTTATTAGAGTGTTGGCCCAGCATCCTAGCTCCTCCATCATCATCTTACACTCTATCTTCTTATTCTCCATACCTTGGAAGTTAGACCACATGGCATTGAGCTTGGAGTTAAGAGCCTTGCTCAAGGACCCATAGACAACCATTGCACCAGGCCTGGGGCTTGAACCAGTGACTTCTTGTTCATGAGCACAGAGACTTAAACCACTGAGCCACATACCACCGACATATGATAAGGCTGGATCCTGGAGCAGAACTGGTCAGCAGTCAGTATGGAAAACAATGAGCTAATTTAAGAAACATGCTTCATTTGTGTAAGTACATCAGAATGCTCCTATTCACTTACCCCACCTTACTCTCCATAACTCGGGGGTCATAGTGCAGAGAGTCAGCTAATGTGCAGAGTCCTCTGCCGAGGCTGGGCTTGAACCAGCAACCTTCAGAACAGAACTGAGCCCACTGAGCCACTCACAGAGACCATTTAACCCTGATCTGAATTTAAATTTTGCCTCTAGTGCAGATACAGGCCAGATTTGGTAATATTCAATGTGAATCTGGCCCATAGCTGTTTCAAATCCAAAAACTAAAAGACACCAGGCCAAATCTGGTTTACTGATCTGCGGCAATTTGGCCCAGATCTGGATCAGACTAATTTTGCTATGTGGGATTTCATATCTGCTGTGTTTGCTTTCTCTGAATTTGAATACATCTGGTGCTTGAACACAAGGTGCAATGTGGGTTTCATGTGGATGCAGGTGTATAGAACGAGCTGAACAAAATCATTCTGTGAATCGTTTTTGCTGTAATTAGAATCTAATCCAAGTGTTTATATGTAATTAAACTTACAATCATTTGTTATTGACGTTAGAATCAATATAAAATATTAAAAATAATGGGAAGGTTTTTCTGTCACATACTAGATACTAGGCCTCCTAGAGCTTTAAGATGAAGTATTAATTTAATATCAATGACTTTTTAATAATATTGATATATTGGTTATACTTGCCAGTACAGGCTTAATAATAATAATAATAATAGTAATAATAATAATAATAATAATAATAATAATAATAATAATAATCTCTAACATACACATGCGAAAAAAAGTGGAAAGCGAAAGTTCAGAGCAGTGATGTTAGGAAAGGTGTCTACATTTCGTTCCGGAAACCTCTCCGTTTCCATTTCCACTTGGCTCAAGACTGAACGGATTTGGATTTGCGTAGGCGGTTTAAAAATAACCGAGGTATAAAGGCACAGAATAAAAATGGTTCCGATACATTCCCCGCTAGGCAGACTAACCTAACCAGTTATCAACAAAAGAAAGATCTGTAAAATCGTCACTGTAAGAACTGTATTAAAGCGCAACATAAAGCATATTCACCTGAGTGCAATTCTTTGAGCACAAATAAGAGGAGTTTCTTTCCAAACGGGGTGCTTTTAAACGTGAACGCGCAGTTAAATACCAGCAACATGTTTATCCTTTTAAATAACTTTAAAGCAAAGACACTTCAAATTTAACGTTGTTATAATGTCATTTTAAATAACTGAATTACGGCTATTCGTAAAATATTTGTAAAGATTGCTGGTAACGATATCATGAAACGTAAATAAAGCCCTGAATAGTTAAAAATGTTACTTAATGCTAAATGTAAGAAAATACAAATTAATGTTAAATGTCAAAAGATGACGTTTACGGTTATTTTCGCCACTATCACAGTATTAGAATATCAGTAATAATATTAAACTTGCTCTAACCGTACGTCCATCCATCCATCTTCTAATAAACTGTCCTGGGCAGGGGGGCTGGAGCATATCTTGATGCTACTACGTTGACTGAAAGTAATTAAATGAAAAGTGTCATTAAAAGTCATGTAATCCGTGGATTTTAGGGCTTGGAAAATAGTTGATTTAATACTTAAAATTAAACAGTTGTTAGTTGCTCTAGTTAATATAATAATATATAATTCTGAATTCCTAATTAAAATGTTGATTTTATTTTTTATAAGACTTACACAACATTGACATTTAAAGTCATTGTTCCAATATTATCAGCTTTGAATTGTTGGTCATTTGTTGGTTGCCTCGTTGTAATTCTGGTAACATTCCGAAATAATTTAGATTTTAGATTTGTTATAGGACTATGATTATTGGTTATCAAGCTGTTTGAAATACTAAATTGCACACAATTTATCACAGGCCGTGGGAAGTACCGTTTCTTTCATTTTTGCTACGTACCCTAATGATTTACATAATAATTCAACTGAAAGGCGCGGTTTGCATGAAGACCATTAGCGACCGTGTCTCCGAACTGTTTGCTACTGAGATTACCCTTGTTTCGATAGCTTCGTGAATTAGCATAGTTTCACGAGTGTTTGTTTAAATGTTAAACAACCGAGATTACGCACAAGTTAAATTAATATCACTAGTAACTGGACGTGACCATTTATACATAATTTTGATGGACATTACAATAACAAAAGATAATTTTCTGTTACGATTCGATCGAAACTACTATACTCAGCAGTCACGAATGTAAACTGTGATAGGATACTCTTATCACATGTAGTGATCTGTTTATGGTACGGTTATCTATGTAAATGCACATGTAAACGATGCTTCATTTTTTACTATCGGGTCGACGTTTACATTATAACCGTACAATTTTCTAGTATGTTCTAGTTTCTCTGTATCTAAAAGCAACATTCAAACCCCCTTGAGTAGACAGTAATCTGCAGTTTAAAACAGTTTAAATGGAAATACGGGTAAGGCTGTACTGCGCCTCCTACAGCGGGCAGCCTTAAAACCGGCAGGTAACACAGGTTTTTAAACGGTGCGTTTCTGGCTTCAAACTGAAGTTTGGGTGACTAACTAAATGGCAATGGTAAACTATAACAAATTCACAAAATCTGTAAAGGTTTTACATTTATGCACCATTGAAACAGAAAGTGCGGGGTCTCCGTTTAAGTGTTAAAACGCTATCCGCGTAGTCCGCTACGTCGAATATAATTTTTGATGACACGTAGAGGCCCTAAATAAGAGTAAATTCTACGCCACTGGAAATGAAAGGAGCGCTCGGCAGGTTGATAACGCAGCGTGATTGGCTGCCCTCAAGCCAATCAGAGCCGACTGGCCCATATAACAAGCTGGCAGCAGCGAGGTGCGAAAGGTGACCGCCCCAAGCGCTCTCTTCTGCTGGGACTTGCTTATACTTTTCGGCTCTGATCTGCTTGCATAAAAATACTGGTTAGTCAGTAAATTATTTACACATAGGAATGGCTCTCGCAGATGCGATGCTGCCGTCCATAACCACTTTTGCAAGTAACCAGATTTTGGAGAAAAGGCAGTGTGAAATTGTCAACGTAAGTCTTTTGTTGTATTATTTATTTAGCTTTATTGCATAGTGTTCAGTTTTAAACCACCTGTTAACTTTAAATCGCAGGGGGCTGAAAAGAACGTTTTATCTACTGCTAAACAAATAATGTTAAAGAATTACGTACATGCATATGTTTGTGTTTAGTAACATTTAGCTATTTCTGTTGATCTGTATAATTTCCTCTAGTTGGAGAAAGAATCTTTTGTATACTCACTGTTGTGTGACTTTTGCTGAATTTTGAGTGACTTAATTCCTCCATACTTCCCTTGCACAGGACTGGAAAGTGGACAAGAATGAAACGAACGCACCAGGCGATGATCTGAAATCCCTCATCGAGGTTGAATTTAGCATCGCTAAGTCCCCTGCGCGGAACAGGGATGAGGACGATCTTGCCAAATTCCTAGATTTGGAGTTCATCTTGTCCAACACCGTTGCACTTGAAAGCAATCGGAATTGCTCCCAGTCGTCCGCCTATCCGCTCCCGGAGTCCCCTGAGAGTTGCAGCACGGTGTATGACAGCGACGGCTCCCACCACACGTCCAGTGCCTTCGGGGGCGGCAGCCTAGTGGCGGAGCTGCTCACGCCAGAAATGGGCTACCAGGGAGACGCTCAGCAGGACTACAGCTTCTCCGCGGTTATGGACAGACGCGAGTACACAGAACTTCGCGCACTCAGCATGACAAACCCTGTCCACATACCACTCGATAACATTCACCATATGGTACAGAAAATCAAAACGGAAAACACCGAGCAGTCATGCATGATGGCAGCTGAGTTCATGACCCCCGTGTACGAGCAGAAGCCCCTGCGCTCCGCGCACCTGCAGCAGCTCCAGGGCTACCTGAGCCACGGCGCGCCGCATGCTCTGTCCCGGGACGGGATGATGCGCAAAGACTGCCACCTGGCAGAAGTGCTCCCGCAGCACCGGCCCCACTTCATGGCCAATCCCCAATACCCAGCCCAGTACCAGCACCAGCACCAGCAAAACACGTCGCAGTATCAGGGACAGTACAACATGTTTGCGGAGCCCATGCGGCTTCACCACCCCGGCATGATGCTCACTCCGCCGTCATCGCCGCTTCTGGACTTCTTCTCGCCTGACGATTGCAAACCCAAACGGGGGCGTCGGTCCTGGGCGAGGAAGCGCTCGGCTACTCACAGCTGCGAGTTTCCGGGGTGCGGAAAGACATACACCAAAAGCTCCCACCTGAAAGCTCACATGCGGACGCACACAGGTAAGCCGATTGCCTCAAATGTATGTCGGTGATAATAGAACACACCGATCGCCTAACTGAATTTAGCAGAGTATGGAAGTTACGTGACAAGATTTTGGTTTATTTGTGCAGGTGAGAAACCGTACCACTGTAACTGGGAAGGCTGCGGCTGGAAATTCGCCAGGTCGGACGAGCTGACCCGCCACTACAGGAAGCACACGGGCCACCGGCCCTTCCAGTGTCACTTGTGCGAGCGGGCGTTCTCCCGCTCCGACCACCTGGCTCTGCACATGAAGCGGCACATGTGAACCGCGCCTTTTCTCCTCTACAGAAAACCCGATGTAAATATACGGACTATGTATACGTAAATTAAGGCAGTATTTAATGACACTCCACTCTTATGAAATGTCTTCCATCGTAAGTTATTGAAAATGAAAACAGACAGTGAACATGAAGATGGGCAGGACCCTTCAGATATTTTTGTAAATAGATTTTTAAACGCAGGCTATTTTCTATGATTATTAATTCTACCTTTCTGGGTATTTTTGCCCCAGATCAGGGAAAAGTAATAGTATTTACTATTGGGGAAAAAACAGCTGTGTTGCCAAATAAATTCAGTAAATGTATTAGGCCTACACTAGCTGTTCTTGCTAACAGCACGCTTCAGTGTCCAACTTTTTTTCGTAAAGGTATTTAAGGGCTATTATGTGAGGTACTGGCAGACTGCCATTTAATAAAGTTGCATATGCTTTTATAAAGCCTGTATGTTAGAAGATTATCTGTAATTGTTCTTGAATTTTCAACAGCAATACCATCCCTATGTAACTTTTCTGTAAAGTGATATTGCTCTGAATGACAGCTGCATAAATTTAATTGTCAAAGTGTTTTATGAGAAAAATAAAACTAAGTGATTTTTAAAAAATATTTCTATGGAATTTATCAATTGGCTAGTCCCGTAAGAGTCCTAATCAGTGAATAAATGAGCCACTTTGCTCGTGGCCGAGGCTGCGTTACACATCACGCACGCATCTGCACGTAAAAGCACTAGGCGTTAATGCAGCGTCACCGCACTGGTCGCTAACGGCTTTCGTTTTGCCCTAGAAAACAATGAAAGCCAACACCTCTCGAAATACAATTTGAATAATGGCAATAACAGCACTATACATGACAGTTATTACGTGGGAGTTATTTAAGAAATTAGGTTTGGCAAGTCTTTCAGAGTTTTGAAACTCGGCATGCTGGATAACCGATCTACTGTAAAGTCTGATTATTATAACAATGTCGGTTAGAAGTGGGATATTAATTTTACCAAGATGCTTTATTCGTATTAACTTACATACATTAAGTGATAAACATTTCAGACGCACTTCTTTACTATTTCATCGTCTTTTATGGCATGTTGACGCAAAACGCCCCCTCCTGGACATTTCATTATTAGTGTTTCGGCTCACCTTCCCAATTTTAAATGCGCATGTTTAACGTCTATTTCACTAGACAAAATAGTTTTTTTCTGTATTTAACGCAAGTTCCCAGCTTTTACTTGTTGACTGAGCAATAGTTCGTGCGTTAAAAACACATTATTTGCCTAATTTTTGCATTTGGGGTCATCATCAGGTTTGGGAAAAATATAGTACACTGATCAGCTATAACATTGAAACCACTGACAAGCGAAGTGAGCGCTTTCACAAGGTTCCCAGTATGTGACCAGTACCTACCAAACATGGTCCAAGGAAGGTCAGCAACAGGGTCATGGGCGCCCAAGGCACATTGATGCGCATGGGGAGCAAAGGCCAGTCGGTCTGGTCTGATCCCACAGGAGAGCTGCTGTGACACAGATTGCTGAAAAGTGAATGCTGGCTATTATAGAAACGTGTCAGAACACGCAGTGCTTGCTGTATATGGGACTGCATAGCCATAGACCAGTCAGAGTGCCCATGCTGAGTGTCAGAACTGGACCATAGAGCAATGGAAGAAGGTAGGCTGGTCTGACGAGTCATGTTTTCTGTTACATCATGTGGACAGTTGGGTATGAGTGCGTTGTTTACATCTGGAAGAGATGGCACTAGGAAGAAGCACTACAGGAAGAAGGCAAGTCGGCAGAGGCAGTGTGATGCTCTGGGCAATGTTCTGCTGGGAAACCCCTGGTCCTAGCATTCATGTGGGTGTTACTTTGACATGTACCCCATACCTAAATATTGTTGCAGACCAAGTACACCCCTTCATGGCAATGGTATTTCCCAATAGCAGTGACTTCGTTCAGTAGGATAATGTGCCCTGCCACACTGTGCACACACTGCAGAAAGGTTTGAGGAACATGCAAAAGAGTTCAAGGTGCTGACTTGGCCTCCAAATTCCCCAGAACTCAATCCAATCGAGCACCTGTGGGATGTGCTGGACAAACAAGTCTGATCCATGGAGGCCCCCCCTCGCAGCTTACAGGGCTTACAGGATCTGCTGCTAACTTCTTGGTGCCAGATACCACAGGAGACCTTCAGAGGTCTTGTGGAGTTCATGCCTCGAAGGGTCAGAGCTGTTTTGGCAGCAAGAGAGGAATCGGCACAATATTAGACAGGTGGTTTTAATGTTACAGCTGATCAGTGTATATCAGGTGTGGGCAATCTTATCTATAAAGGGCCATTGCATATACAGCTATTTAGGATAACCTTTAGGTCAGCTGTTCAAACCCAGGTGTGAGAACTCTTCAGACAATCAGTTCTTTAATTGGTAATCTAATTAGAGAGTCGCACTGAAAACCTGCTTACACAGCAGCCTTTTCTTGATAATTTTAACCCTGGGTGAATATTGTTACTATGTTACTAAATCTATGAATGGGTATTTTAATGTTACACTAAAAAGGAAAAATTACTTGGAAAAAAAGAATAATGTTAGACACCATTTGTGAGAACACCACCCAGGTTTAAACAACAACAAACTATTTCAAGCCAAAAGACACCAGTTACTAGCATCAAAGGAAAAATATGTTAAGGGATAAATACAGCTACCAAGAGCTGGTGTACGTGTGTCTAAAGCACTTTACACGCGGTCATTCTCCACGGCATTTGGACTTGCATTGTATTCTATGTTACTCACCACACGGGGGCGGTGCTTCACTACCTTTTCGCGTCAATGGCCGCAGCTGCAGTGTTCTCATTGAGGACATGGACTCAAAGAGACACATATTGTTTTCAGTTTCGATATTGATATGCGAAAGATGTAGGCCTAATTAAACTCGCCAGTTCGTCTTTACCTCTAGAATCGTGAAACATAATCAAATATATAAAAACAAACAAAAAAAATTGTAACAGGAAGAACTATACAATGAAAATAATGTTACGGGATCTATTCTTTCAAAGAAATATGTCTAGCCTTCAAAATTTAAATATTTCTATGTCCCAATGATTTACCCTCAAAGGCCTACCTGCTTCATGCATGTGGCATGACATGCAAACTGTAATTAAAAATGAAACTCTTTTATGAGAATAGAAAATAATGGCAAAATAAAATTACTTCTGTTAGTATCAAAGTATTCACCATGAGACAATGCTGTACATTACACACAGTTTTCATGTAAGGAGATATTGCAGGGCATCCTTTTAATGCACATACATGCATCACATGGGTGACAGTCTGGGAAAAGTTTTGGGTTATTGCTTGGAACAGAGCAATACACAGACCCAAACCTAAACATAAGAAATTTACAAACGAGAGGGGGCCATTCGGCCCATGATACTCGCTTGTTGAGAACTTAACTAATAGCTCAGAATTGTTAAAATCTTATCTAGCTCTGATTTAATGGAACCCAGGGTTTTAGCTTCCGCTACACTAGCAGGAAGACCATTCCATACTCTAACTACACGCTGTGTAAAGAAGTGCTTCCTCAAATTTGTTTTAAAATGTTCTCCCACAGAAGCAGGGACAAGATACAAACCCATCACAGACACATGAAGAACATGTAAAACCTGCACACGCAGAACCAGAGACAAGATACAAATTGCCACAGACACATGAAGAACATGTAAGACCTGCACACGCAGAACCAGAGACAAGATACAAACTGAGACAGACACATGAAGAACATGCAAGCTCTGCACACGCAGAACCAGAGACAGACAAAGGGACGATATAAACCAGCAGCCTCTGGAGGTGTGAGGCTCTGCTGCCCTTCGCTGTGGCCATGTGTAACCCTTCTTTAAAAACCCTTCTATTTTAGCCTTACACAACAAAGTGTCACTTTATGTCACTTTGACGCACTGAAGTGTAGAGTCAGTAATTACTGTTTATGTTACTTTAATGAACACAGTGTCATAACATAACATTATGTCAACAGAAAGACAACCACCATAGGTGATATATGTCAGCTTGATAAAAGAGCTACCAATGTCAGCATGTATGGAAACTACACAAGTTGGAACGAGAGTTTATAAATGTTTTTGACAATTTATGTCGGCTGTCATGAAGCACCTCTGTATGTGTTAGGTTGCCTTACGAAGAGCAGCCTTGATTATTAATAATAATAATAATAATAATAATAATAATAATAATATTTATTTATTATTATGATTATTATTATTATTATGAAGCACTCATGTATGTGTTAGGTTGCCTTACGAAGAGCAGCCTTGATTAAACCGTTACCAGATCGTTGAGCGCAATCCACTTTATTAAAAAATGAAACGATATTCTCCGTCTATAAAAATAAACACAAAAGTGAAAACAAAAGCATCGAAAATGCTCCAGTGTTTCGTTACAGTTTAGATGAGGCAGAAAGCTGTGAGCATAAGATAACTCAGTTCACACCAAGAGAGGCGGCTCGAAGACGGATGAATGGGTAGTTTAGTAGATAACCTATTCATATATTTCGGGGTGTCGATACAGATTCTTGGAGACTGAAGCATAATACTGACGAACTGGCAAGCAGCCTAAAGAGCCAGTAACCTCAGGAACACATACTGACTAACTTATTCACTGTCGCTCTTTCTAATGTCCTTTAGATTCTTTCCAAAAGGTAAAAATAGTAATAGTGGTGGAAACCTCCAGATGACGTGTGCTGAGGTGACAGGGCGATGATGTGTGTTTTAGGGATATGTAGAGAATTTAATGGTAGCCGACACTAAGTCGAATTAGGCTACATGAAATCAATTAAAGCAACAGATTAAACCAAGGATACATTCATATCCAAACAGATCCAATCAGATTTTCCTATTTGCACTGCTTGGCATTTCGTCAGATTTTCTTCCTTGACTATTCGGTCGTTTTATTTAGTAAAACATTTACAAGGTGCCGCTCAAATGGTTCAGTATCAACAGCAGCACATTTGCAGTTCTCTGCAGCCGTAGCACCTTTTAAAGAACTTGTAAAGTCGTGGAAAAAGGCACGCGAAAAGAGGGGCGTAGCTATATGAGGAACGAGGAGGTGCTGGCTTTAAATAAAGGGGAACCTCCGAGTGATGCAACTTCTCAAAGGCAAACCCAGCCTGGAGACACGGGCGGCTCTGCACACGGTAGGGGACTCATCCTTCACGATGTCCGGCCACATGCAGCCGAATGTTTGCGTTATAGTGTCTGTTTAATCTGCATCCAACAGGTTTATGCACATTTGGGCTGTTGTGCTTCATGATCTCGTTTAGGGTTAGTGATCTCGGCATGCGTCAGAAAGAGATGATGTAGGGCTGGGTGGTGCTGTAATCAAATGACAGGAGAGCCGATCGAGAGCGGGGTTCCCTCGGTGCGGATCGCCTTGCCTGTTTGTGGGGGTATTTCACGAAAAACACAATGAACTGAACTGAGCGCATCGCCATGCCTGTTGGGGGGTGGGGTGGGGTGTAGTATATGACTGGATGGACACCGGGGTGACCTGACACATCGGATAATACAGCACAACACCCATCTCAGTCTTTTATATGTTAGCGAAATATATATATAA